ATTTCATCTTTAAAATTATAAGGGCAGAGAAAGTCATGTTTAGAAACACACAATGTTCACAAAGTACTCACAATTCCTTGGATTATGAAGCTTCTCAATTAGTTAATCATTCACTCTTTTGTTGCCACTTAACCTCAGAAACAGATATTTTCAATCAGAAACTATCTCAAAAGAATTTGCTCATTCTAACCAAGTTAGATACATTTGATCTTACATCAAAATTCATCTATACAATGTGTCAATAGAGCTTTGATACCATAAGCATGAATGATTTTTCTTGATCTCAATTTATAACACTTGATCCTTTATAAACCCAGAAGTAAAAAGCAACAAAAGACACCCTATAGACCACTACTCTATTTTGCATAGCTTTTCCTCTTTGTATTAAAGGCAAATACAATAGTTAATAAATAAATATTTAATGGCTAAATAGTTTTTGTATGGGAAGTATAAAAGAGAATAAGAAGGGAGAGATAATGTTTATAACATACTTCCTCTGTTTATCAGATGATGCTCCAATTCCTATTAATGTTACCCAAAAAGAATGTGGGGGAAGAGTCACAAAGAGAAGTAGAGAACAGGAATTTGCTGCTTCCACATTATGTTTCCACTTTAATTCAGACAATAATAATTTTCTCTTTATTATCTTCTGCTTGCTGAGTTTGCCTCTAAAACAGTTCATAGATTCTTTCCCCACTCAAACAATATGTTCACCATGCATTGATCATACTTACACTTTTAATAACTTCTTTCTTTCTTTCTTATTTCCTCCAAATTTGGCATTCCCAGTTTGTTTGCAAGCTTCTCACTTTCTGTTATGTGGCTTATAATGAAAATATTTGTAATGCAATCTTGACTTAATGCTTTTTAGTTTGGTGGCTGCAGTAAGCTTTGCAGAAGCCAGCAGCAGCTCAGGTCCTGCCCTGAGGTATTTAGGGACCTGTGCCTACTGCCCTAACTATGCAATTACAATATCATAAGACAAAGCAATATAAAGACTTCTCCACTTATTCCAGGAAATTGATCACATTGTGGAAAAAATTAATTACCCTTTAGCCATCTGAGGTCACCTTGCAATGGGAGTAATTATGTTTTACAAAATATTTTTTTCTAGGAATAGAAAAGGCACTTTTCCTGCCAACTAATGGGTGTAAATGAAAGTAAAAGATTACTTGATCTTAATAGTCAGTGAGAAAAATAATCTCAACTTCTAACTTTCTGTCCATAAGGAAATCACACAATCCTTCAAATAATCATCTAGCATCAGAGTGATTTCTTCTGATAACAAGATGCTCCTTACTTCACAAGGCACTTTAATTTATTGTCTGGTTCTACCTTGTGTCATGTGAAGAACAAATATGTCTTCACTTCAACTTGATGAGTCTTCCTGTATTTCAGGATGCATTCACTTTTTTCTTCATGACAAATCATCTGTTTTTCTCCCAAAAGATATCAATAGTTATTTGAATTATTTTTATATAATGTACTTTCTATACCTCAACATTTCTGATGTAAATTCCAAGTAGTCAACCTTAAAGAAGAAAATAAAATATAACACATCTTTGTCCAGTCTCCAGATGATGGGTAATTGGGCTGTTTTCACATGTTAGCTATTACAAACTGTGCCAATATGAACACGGGTATGCACATTTTGCTTTGGTATGATACTTTTAATTCTTTTAGGCTATACCCATCAGAGGAATAGGTTTGTCAAATGGGACCTCTAATCTTAGTATTTTGAGGTATCTCTGTACTGATTTTTGTAGTGGTTACACCAGTCTACACTCCCACCAATGAAAAAAGGGTTTCTTTCTCCCTATGACCCCACCAGTATTTGTTATTGATTTCTTGATAGCAGCCATTCTTTCTGGGGTGAGGTGGAATCTCAGTGTTGTTTTCATCTCCATCTCTCAAATGACCAGTGATGTTGAACATTTTTTCATGTGTTTATTTGCTATTTCTACTTCTTTGTTTCAGAAATTTCTGTACATTTCAGATGCCCATTTTTGGATTGGGTCATTATATTTGGGGGTTCTGATTTTTTAAGATCTTACTATATTGTAGATAGTAGCCCTTTGTCTGAGAAACACATGATAAAAATTTTCCCGCATTGTAGGTTATCTCTAAGCTCTGTTGGTGGTTTCTCTTGCAGTGCAGAAGCTTTTTAATAATATGATATCCCAGTTGTTGATTGTTTTTGCTACTTCCAATGCTACTGAGGTTTTGTTCCTAAAGTCTTTTACTATCCCAATGTCTTCAAGAATTCTAGCTAACTTATCTTCCATCAAATTTAGTGTTTATTTTAATAGTTACATCTTTAATCCACTTCAATTTTAATTTAATGTATGGTCAAAGATACTACACTTGATCTTAGCCAAAAGGCTGAGATGCAACAATGTATGGTCAAAGATATGGGTCGAATTTTAATCTTTGGCAGGTTGAAATCCAGTTTTTCAAAAACCATTATTCCTCCACTGAAGATAGTTGGCTCTTTTGTCAAAGATGAACTGGCTCAGGATGTCTGGAGTTGTTTCTGCATCTTCT